GTGTGTGTGTGTGTGTGTGTGTGTGTGTGTGTGTGTGAGGGGGAGGGAGGGGTCACAGTAAGGCGAGGGGCTTCTGCCCCGAGGAACAGTGGGGCCACATGCACAGAAACAGTCGTTTAGTTAACGGCTTTCATTTTCCTAATTAAGATTTAGTGAATCCTGGTTTTCCATCTCTTTTTCTTTCCCTTCTTACCTCCCTCACCCCAGCATCCCTGCTCCCCATTACGCTTTCCGCTTCTTGCGCTGCATCTGCACACATTCACCCCAACACACGTCTCTCCCATATAAATATATCGTTCACGCTATCAGTCAAACTGAACCATTGAAAATCATTGCAGAAATGTGCTGAATGCGTGTGTTTCACCCAGATTGTCTGGCTAAACAAGATTACAAGAAGAGCAAGGGGTCAATCCTTACCCTCTGTGATATCCACTACTTGGTGTTTGTGTCGCAGCTGGCTGGTTGCCAACCGATTTACCCCCCCCATGCCTCACCTCTGCTTAGGAGGAAATGGAACAAACAGCTTAAAACCTTTTCTACTAATCCCCCAACAATGGAATCTGCTGTTTTTATCGAGGGCGGAGATGGAAAAGATTTTAGGCAGTGGGGCTGAACCGCAGTTCTGAGCCCAGGTAAGCCTGGAGATTTGGTTCAATGGTCCAGTTAAAGCATTTGATTAGCTTCATTCCACCACACTGCTCCATGACCGGGGTGGATTTTTGTCCAGGTTACGTAGAAGCCAAGTGTGAAATCTTAACCTACAAATAATAAGGGGAATGTTGCCAGCTGCTCTTTTGCAACTGGAAATCATTTGAGTATTAGAAGTCTGAAGCCGACTTTGTTTCTTTGCACAGAATTGTCCTCTGCAAAAGATCCTGCCATCCAAATGTTGGAAGGTAGTCAAAAATTACCTCTTGCTTGAAGTGCTTCCTTGAAGCGAGTTTAGCACCTGACCTGTGGACAAGGTTGGAATAATTAAGCCTGGGTATCGTCTGAAGTTATCCTCTCTCACGCTTTTGGTCCTACTTCTGGAAACACTCCATTTGGTTCTTTCGTGCTCAACCGGATAATAGCGAGAACAGTTCAGGGCTGCTGCGCACATGTGAGAACAGATTTGTTCACTGAGTCTAAATCATCTGAAGATGAGATTGCAGCTATATTACAAGCACAGGAAAGTGAAGTACTGAGTGCACTTGCTTGAAGAATCTCAATCTCTAGTATTCAGTTAGAACTCATTAAAACTCTGCATTAAGCAACAATTTCTCAGAAAAGTGACAAGCTATCAACCACTATCACTCTCCAAATAAGGTCAGGCATAAAACAATCAGATGCTTCCTGTTGAGAGGATGTAACACAGTAGTCAGATCTTCACTGAGGTTTTATTGCCAGTGCGTCCACCCGTAGCCTTACAGAATCTTGCTATGATACGACATCAACTGTTGTGGCTACTTGAAAAACCTTGTACTTAATCCAAGGTGAAAGATTTCACCATCCTTTATCCAACTTTCCTCCTCAAACTTGACTTCTCTGCCATGCACACAGCAGCCAGAGGGGTTGCACGAACCTGACGAACTTTGAGCAATGTCAGCGTCTCACAATCTTTGAGCAAACAGTCAGGTTGAGATAATACAGGGAAATCAAACACGACTTAACTGGTTGCAGTGATTAAGTGATAAGAGCTCATCAAAAATATGCAGTTGCAAGTCAGAAAACACATTTTCCAAAGCAGATTTCCAATGGAATCGGTTTTGCGTGCATTTTTGTCAACAGGAAGAGCGAGAAGAGATTTGCTTCCATACAGAGAAGACTTATCTCAGACTGCAGTGATTACGCACCTCATCTTGCCTTCAACTGTTATTAATCAGGTATGCCACATGCATTTCACATTGGATATAATGTAATTAGGTGTAACTCTCAGCTGTCTGGTGTCCTTAAATTTCTGCGTGAAATTCTCTCAGCGTTCACGTATTATAGCGTCAATCTTTCACCCCGTTCCTTTATTTCTTTCCAGGGTGTCATAAACACAACATGCATGATGCTTCCAAGAAACATAAACACATGTCGAGATGGTTCTCCTGTGGCTGCAGCTGAGGTGTTGCAACACAATGCTTGGCAGAGAAATCAAAGCTGCCTTGCACCATCACAAACATGGTGCATGTGCTTGTTTTCAGCATTAATAAAAGCGTCTTAATCACATGTTAGCAGGTTTGGGGTTTTTTTGTGTGTGTGTGTGTGTGTGTGTGTGTGCTGGGAGAACTGTGTGCTAACCTTCACTGTGTTGTGGGTCGAAGATGTTCAAACAATGCTAACTTCTTTATTATTTATAGACAATACACAAGCACAATCTAGCAACAGCAAACACATGAATGAGTACGCATACACACACACACACACACACACACCCACACACACATACACCATCCTAAATCTTAGGATTAAAGGGATAATGTC